GGCCCCCCCCCCCCCCCTTAGCCTGGCGGCGGGCCTAGGGCGGGAGGCGCTGGCGGGTACGCGGGCTTGCAAAACCATGAGCGCGGCGGCTTCGGGCCCTGGCCGGCGGGCGCGAGTGTCCCGCGTGGTGTCCTTCAGCGCGACCCATCGGCTCCACAGGTGGGGTGTGCCTACAGTACCAGTGGTGGGGGCAGCACCTTCGAGCCCCGGAGCTGGTTCCCGGGTGCGAGAGGGGCACGGGTGCCAGCTGATGAGTGGGCGGGGGGCGCGGTGTGCTCCTGCGGCCGCCAGGCTTCGTTGATGATGTCATAACAGCTGCGACCGGCGTCGACCAGCCTCCTGGGGATCGATGTGACGTTAAAGGTGTTGGACTCGCCCAGGTTACGCAGTGCCAGGCACATCGTAAACACTCAGTACATGTTAGCTACCCATAGCTAATACAGTTACAGCAAGGCGAGTTTTGTCCACTTTATACCGAAGAGAAAATGAACCCAGATGTTCACTTTCCTGAGAGCAAGCAGCGCAGTTGGGATTTGAGCCCAGAGTACTCATACTGCTTCATCGCACTGAAGAGTTGATTTTGAGCAGGGTTTTGCCACTCATTAGAAAGCTCCACTCTCTGAGCATCTGTTTCCTCGTCTGCAAAATGAGGATAATAATTTCTGCCTAACAGGATTCACCTATCCATTTATTCCCTGGACAGGTATTTGTTGTCAGGTCTTGTGCTAGGTAACAGGGATGCAGCAGTGATCAAGACCTGTCACAGTTTTCTATCTGCAGTGTACAAATTGGCCAATTTTGTGGAGAATACAGTGAGATAATTTTGTGCAAAAGCTTTGTGAACTGTAGTACTCTAAATGAAAGAAGTAGATGAGCAGGAGAAAGGAAAGTAATAAAGAGAGTCTCAAAAAGAAAGGGGTTATTTAATAGGAAGCTCAAACATATGAGAGTGGTAAGGCTTCATTGAAGATGCACAGTTGATTGGACAGGTATATGTATAAAAATCCATTAAGAAAATGGATCTCTGCCTGGAACAATGGCTGAGTATTGTAATTTTAAAATTTAACCTGGTTTGAATACCCCTGAATGGATTGAAGTTATCAGTTGGCAATAGTTGAGGGATAATGAAGCAAGATTTTAAAGAGAAGATGTACTAGGTTATGTAATTATTTTTCAGGGGGCATGAGATTTTAAGCCACTTGAGGATAAGCGTCTTTTTTTTTTTTAAATCACCATGTGCCCTTGCTTCATTCAGCCCATGCCTAGTATGTAGTAGGTACTCAGTAAATGTTGAATTGAAAAATGGAAGGGCCTTGAGCAGATCAGTTGTTGAAGTCTTGCTGTGGAACAAGGATGTTGAATTTACTTAAGCTAATTTGTATGGTATAGTAGTCTAAGTAGGGGGCATACACTGGTTCCTGACATAAAATTGAGTAAGGAAATCAAATTGATTTATGACTCTCCATTTGATGAGCTAAAGAATAGTAAGTTGTGAAGTTTTTCAAAGGCTAGAGCAAACAATAAGTGTAG